CTTTGCTCAAGTAATTTTCCTTGTGGGGTTCGACTTTATTCTTGAACAAGAAATTTGTATACAGAATTTGAATGTTTGCAGTGGCGTTGAAAATTGTTGTTTTGATAAACTTTTTTTTCATCTGGTTTTTAAACTTTTAATTGTCACTGTCAACTATGAAAAGATTTTATATTGAAAATTTTTTTTTATATTTATGTTCATTTGCGAATATTCAAAGTGTAGAGTTTTTCGTGCTCTAGCAACTCTAGTAATTACCTTTCGTTCGGATTTCAAATCTCCTTCGTGGTTCGCACCATCATGTGTAGATTTACTTTTATGAGTCCACTGTGCAGGGACATCAGTAGTATCTGCACGTAGACAGATATGTAGATGTATATACATACATCATATATATATATATAGATAGTTCCCATATAGTTAAATCATGGAAAAACTAGTAACGGGAAGATGTAAACGTACAAGGCAGTCGTAAAGAAAAGTGGCAAGTGACAGTGCGAGCCATGAAGGAGAATTGGGAGCTGACCTAGAAGTAACCATCCGAGTTGCTAGGGCACGAAAAGCTATAAACTTTGAACCTGGAGGAGAGGAAATAATGGAAGAGGCTACGTAAATCTATATATCCGTAGGAGGAAGGAAAGATAGGTTGATAGATCCTCGCGAGAAAACCAGAGCTAAGACATCTGCTCCAAGCTCTAAGGCTAGAGGTTTTAATATCGAAGACGCCGAGAATGAGCGTCGTTCTGCTCGTAGCATCGCAAGAGGAAAACTGCACATTTTAACAACAACATCACCGATGCGAGATTGCTGTTTAGTGAATGCCAATCGTCATAGACACATCGTAGCTACTGAACGGAGAGAATAAACGAAGAGACTTTGAGAATTCCAACTTTGTAACGCTAGGTGGAGATAAAAATGGGCGAGGTGGCTCGATCAAGAGTAGAGAAATAAATGGCAAAGAAACGGACAGACAAATATTCGATTAAATGAATGTATGCTGAGCAAAATAATGAATTTACTTAAGTCGTTTGAGAAATGGACGCAAATTTGAAATTAGATGCTTTAAATTATGCATGTAAGGTACTTTCGCAACCTTTAATTGGAATAAGAAAACTCTGTGACTTTTGGAGGAACGTATTACGGTCAATCCCGAATGATGCAGAAAAAATTGCTTGGTCTTTGTTTAAATCAAGAAAGCAAATAAAAAAACATCTTAATAGGTCATCCGCCCTACATGCCTTGGGATGGCAACCAATAACCTTTTTTTGTTCCCCTAACGTCAACAACAAATTACGTGCACATAGATTTTTGTCGGCAGAAGCAGACGTTGATGTGTTCGAAAACACTGTTTTAGAGATATCTCAAGCTATGGGAACGTAAGCAAGATCATAAAGGGAAATCAATAAAGCAATTTTTAATGAAAAATTACTGTTTTTGAATTATTAGGCTTAAAGTGTAAATAGTGCCTGTCGCATAAGCGAAATTTCAAATTCTTTACAAAAACTATTTCAATTAAAAGGATAAAGTTCTCATTATATGCAGCATTTAAGAGCTTTTGGCCTTTAGGGAACATGACGCTTATTGTCAACACAAACTCATTCGAGTTGTTCATTTTTTACCTTTCTTCTTTTTTATTGTGCTCTTTTGCTGGGGCTTATGTTTCACTTAACAAAACATTTATTTATTTATTTTTTTTTTGACTTGCTTTCTTTCTTTTTGTGGCTGCGAGAAATACTTTAGTGAGTACTTAAGCATTAAACAGCACATAAAAGACGATAAGGCGAACAAATTTATGGTAACTTTAAAAACCGTATCCATGCCTGCATTAGTGAAGAAAATATTGTGACACATGTATTATTGTAAACACTAAAATCATAACAAATGGACGAGGTGGTAATGATCATTAATATAATATTACTGGAAAAATAGCAATAAATTTTATCATTTAAAAGCATTTTTTGCATTTATGAAAAGTTACATAAAAAATATATTATCAGTTATACTTTTCAAGAGAACTTTATAGACTTTGACTGTGGTGAAAATTACGAAAAGAATTTATGCAAGATTTTCATTGGTTTCATTTCTCTATCCTAGCAAACGCTTTCGAGGAAACAAGTATATAACTTTGACACGTGCAAGAGTTTATAAAATATGTACATTTTTGATTAAGATAGGATATAGTCAAATTCATCTTCCAGCGGTTCAATCGTTGCTTGAAAATCAAAATTAGCAAATTTTGAATGAATTCATTTGTGGTATAGCGGAATTTTAAGTTTTGTGTTGGTTCCTCTCTGTTGCTTTTTGCCTGGCTTATGTCCAGGCCGCAATTTTCTAGAAATTTCGATGATATTTGGTACACTGACGTGTTTCGTCCTAAGGCTGAACGTTATTGCAAATGGTTCGATTCGGACACGTCCCTTATAACACCCTACTTTGAAAAGTCGCTATATAAATAACTTGAGGTTAGTGTAGGGTATTCAATAGCGATCTGTGATCCACTATAGCGCTTTAAATTATAAATCACTGTTAAATGAAATTTAAGAAAAGCAAACTGAAGAAATACTACAAACTTAATCGCATATGTGTTTAAATAGAAAAGATATATATTGGCACTTTTATCCTAAAAAAAAATTGAAAAAAAAAACGAAAAAAGTACATTTTCATGCTCTATTCCATTGGGCGTGGTTGATCGTTCCCTTTTTTTGTACGTTGTACGTTAATACTTTCATTGTTTGCCTGTCGTAGTTTACCAAAAAACCCAGAGAGTAGAAGTCTTCCATCTTGATCTCGTTAGGAAAACTATATCTTTTATATATGATCTGCTTAGTAGGTAGGACTAATTCATTGCTCACATCTCAAGCAAATGTTTCGTATCAATGAGATTGAATAGAATCTGATAATTATGCCCTTAAAATGGTACGAAGATGTTATTGTGAGGTCATGACTTCCAAACAGTTTTTTTTTTTTAATTCGAAAAAAAAAACTTGACATGATTTGTGTATCTCGAAGATTGGAGTCGGTACTCCAAACATATTGCATTTTTATGATTTTGCTTAAGCCATAATTCTTTGAAAACATGTGCCATAAATTTTGTTTGTTATTTGTTATAAATCATTTTCAATCATGTCTTCATTAATAACACAACAAAACGTAATGGCAATTAAAATTTATTAAAAAATTGGGTATTCTGTGTAACGTCAAATAAAAATAAAAATTATGCAAGAAAAGTCGCAATCATGTCGGTCGACAAATCTGTGTATTCGAAATTCAACGAATTGATTGCAAATGCTTTACTTCCGACGAGATAGCCCTAGGAGTGACAAAACCTGTGACAATGTCAAACTATTACGAGAAGATTTGTTCACTTAAAATATCGATCCTCCATCATACACACGCCCTTTTTGCGTAAAATCATATATGTTTCATATATGTTATTTATTATTTGGCAGTTATTTGTAGATAATCGCCGGTAAGCATCGCCACTACCAAGTCAGTGTTCGCGGGTCGAATCTCAAATGCGGTAGGGTTTTCTTTTGTACCAGCTACAATAAGGCGTCGCTCAGTCTGTAGAGGGGCAAACATTTATCACGGTGCGGCTACTATTTCTACCACCTACTCGTTTCCCCTTCCTATCTTCTTTCTGGCAGTTGCCACAATTCACGAATTGGGTGCATCCCCTAAAGCAATGGATTAATCCAGCAAGGCCATCCACATCGTCACCAGAGCGGAAAATGCATAGCCATAAAGTTATTTTGTGCACATGATGTGATCAGTAAGGTATAGTGTATTACGAGCTGTTACTGGAGATGTCTACCAATATCATCTGAACAAATTGAACAATGTATTGTTTCAAAAAAGACAAACAGTAGCGGTTAGCAGATGCAAAATCATTCTCTAGCATGACAACGCTCGGCCACACGTTGTAAGAGTTGTCAAGGATACAGCCAAAGCCAGCGTACTCACCAGACATAGGCTCTTCTGATTACCGCTTGTTCAGATCGATGCAGCATGGCTTCGCTGATAGGCGGTTTCGAAATATTGAAGAAGGCCAAAAATAGTTCAGTGATTGGGTTGCTGCCAAACCAGTATCGTTGTTTTGACATAGCATCGTCATGTTTCCGGAAGGATCAGAAAAAATTGATGGACTATATATTGTACGAATTTCACCTACTACTAGCATAGAAAGCTGCCTCTAATTGTTATGTGTATTGCGCTATACAGACTTAGCTCACTATGTGAACGCGTCGATCATGCTTAACGCAACGTATAAGAACATATTCACATTTTCAAAACTATTCTTATTTATTTTCTAAATATCTTAATACATGATCTAAAAGTTATAGTTATGTTTCAAGTCTGATTTAGACGCAGGTGTTAAGTTCGATCTCACTGTTTTCGTTACGCCAGGTAAAGAAAATGCAAGTGATCAGTTTTGTATTAGCAATTTGCAAAGCCGTGTATCGATTTAAAGCATAAGGCATAAATTTAAACGAGGCAGATGGTCAAACACAGACTGACGATCATTCTTGATGTCAAGAAAGGAAAAGGAAACCAGACGTTTGATCAACTTTGATATTGGTTCAAATAAAGAATATAGTCGTAAGCAGATTTGGCTCGTAAGGCTATCATTGCAGTTAAGAAGCGTGACTTTAATTCTCAATGCTATGAACCATACGTTAATTGTGATCGGTGTGTGGTTGTACATAATATAATGAGTGCGCGGTTGGTAAAGATATTACATTTATCTCGGCCACTCCCCGTTTTTCTAGCTCTCCCTCTCCCCTTACTTCTTTCTGACAGCCTTCGTGCTAACTTACAGAGCAAGCCACTTAGCAAATGCTCTTAGATATAAAAAAAAATTAAATATTAATAAAAAACATTCGAGTTTGTTATTGACCTTTGTAAACCAAAAATTCCAAAATTTGCCGTATGCCGGCTCCTTAATGTAGACTCCTTTATATAACAAATTGATTTACAGTTATTCCTAAAAATCTATTACTTACCCACTTTTCGACGCGCACGCCAAAGCACCGGTGGTGCTGTACTGTTATTAGGCGAAGCCAGTGTGACGTTTCAACGACTCAAACAATTACTATAAGCAAAAAAGGAAATAGAAAATTATTAAAACGTTAATGAATGTTATTTCTATTGTAATTATATTTATTTACTAATTGCATTAATTAAATCTTGAAGAAATAATTATATTTACTACTAATTGTTTTAGGTCGTGAAAGTTCGCTCTCAAATTTTCCTACAATTTCCATCATGTAATTTTAATTAATTTTTCAAAACACATTATAATTATGTAATTTTAAATTCATTAAAATAATTGCATATATTAATTATAAATCCAGTTAAATGCATAGGTACCCGTATGTGTTTGACGGTTACAGTGTCAGCGAAACATTAGGCGCCATGGCGTTAAACAGAACCGTCGCTCTTAATAACATTTAAAAAAAAAAAACATTTCTTTAGATTAGTTACGCTTAGATGCTTGTGCTTAGAAATCTACCCCGTTGAACTGTTCGTGTCTTTTGCTACTCTATAATTATCTTATAAATTTCATCATATTTGTGGCTATAAATTTTAAAGTTTCTTTTTCTTCGCTAAGCACGCATGCTTACGCTCATGTACGTAAATAAAAAAATTTAAATATACTTTGAACTTGGTTTAGAAAACAATCTTTTCGTACAATTTAACACTTTTTGTTTACGCAAATAAAACTAAGGGTATGAAGATAAATTCAAATTTAACTAGCGAAAACACCTACCATATCTGTTCACAAAACTCTGTACATCAAATTTGATCGCAATATCTTAAAAACTGCAGTCTATAGGTGCAACCCAAGAGAACAACACGGCCACGGGCGATTGCGCTGCAGACAGTGATTGTGCTTTGTTCTGGTTTCATATTTTCACAGAACATTTCAAAGTTTGTTTATATGTTAGCCTATATTATGTTAATTTTCAAAGTCCCGGGCAAAAATTAATATAACCTGGACATCGTTGGAAATGCCGTACTAGTTTCACAGGGCATGGTTTGGCCATAGTAACTACGCAAACTTTCTCTTTATTAGCCTCATTTATGAGATAGTGTAAAAATGTTGTCCTCTCGAAAACTAATTAAATAAGAGAAAGTCATGTTTTGTTTATAATATTTTGCAAAAAAATCTCGAAAAGTTTCATTTTAACTGTATTTTGAGTTAAAATCCCTCCGAGATTTCGTTTAACAGTATTCTGTTAACGGCTTAACAGCGCTCTGCAACAAAATTTTGGTTTGGGTTTTTGCTTAGTTATACCCCGCATTTGAAGCGATGAAGACAGCTTACAAATGGAAGAAAATCTTAAAAAGAATAAAAACTTTTACTATAGGTTGACAGGTTGGTTTTTCGGTACGACAATCCTCCCCCAGCTATAGCGAAACATGTTAAAATCTGTGTTAGAAGCAACGATCTGAGATATATTGCTCTATTTATGGCTTGCCACTATTTTAGTCGATGACTGAGGAGCTGCTTGCAGGCTTGCTTTCTCATATCTACCCCTTATCTTGGATAATATAAAGCACTTGCACTGAAGTAAGTGACTAGATAATCATTTCGTAAACGTTTTTTTTTTAGCATCAAAGCCATAATTCTACCAAAATAAATTTTTCAAAGTAATGCGCAATTCCTTATTAATTGGTTTTATTGTAATTTCACTTTTATACGCTTTATTTGCCTTTTTAGTAGCAAACTATTTAAACATATTAAGTATTATTCGCATTACAAAAACCATTAAACAAAACTATCGCATAACAGTTGGAAGCTTTTGGTTTTTTCCTCCACCATTACGCCGTATGCGGTATGAAACCTTTGAAATGTTTTGCGTAGGAAATTTCTACAAATTTTGTGGCTTTTCATTTTCAATTAGCGTGAAAAGGTATTGCAATAAATTCATTATTACATCGATAATATATATATTGAGCTTCACACTAAATATTTACAAATATTTAATATTTTCTTTTCACAATATGAATAATATCAGGTCACAATGCGGTCAACATTCAGTCATTGTCTTCCCTAATGAATTTATTATAAACATATGTATCTCCGAAGAGATATAATTTAAACTTGCATGTGTTACTATAAGAAATTCTTTTAAGTATGAAATATTTTTATATATTATAAAGATATATATTTATATATATATATATATATTTACTACATGTTAAAACCACTAAAATATTTAATATCTCAAACTTTATAAGGCGATGGTCGATACAACAACAACGTATGTAGTCATACATAGGCACATGTGTTTACCAACAAAGAAATAAACAAAAACCACATGTTAAAAACCTATGAAAGTCACGTTTTAAAAGTTTTTCTATAAATTCTTTTTTATTCATATTTATTATACACTCTACCAAAGATTGGAAGCATGTTAATTTTGTTATGTCAATTATGCACAGTAAACGTATAGTACATCTTTCTACAATACGATGACTAGTTCTATTTTATTTTAATCCGTTTTGCACGAGTCGCTTAGATTCTACAAATAGATGGGTCGTTCCAAGCGTAATTAACATGCTTGCCTTACTTACGAGAAAGACTGAGAGAGAGAGAGAGAGAGAGAGAGAGAGAGAGAGAGAGAGAGAAAGATAGAGCAATTTGTCAATACATATTTACTGTTTCATTCTTGCATTATCCGAGTCACTTTTGGCGCGTTACACCAATCCGTCTTACATAAACGCATGTTTTAAGGAAGCCTTCTCCATTTTATTCTACTGTACATACATGCCCTAAGTTAGCATAGAATGCTGCTGTCCTTGCTGTGTGCACTGAATTTTAGGAAGGTTAAGATTAAAAGGTAAACTTTAGATCAATTCTGGGACAAAGGTCAGTTTCAAAAAGCACCATAATCGCCGCATATAAACGGATGTTCAACTACTAGAGCAGTAAACAAAATCTTAGTAATAAAATTAATAGTTACCATTAGTTTAAAATCTGGATAACTACCTACTTTATTTTAATATAGATAAAAGCGGCGCGCTGCGACTTACTACATCGTACACTATTAAAATTAAATAGTGCGCCAAAGAGTATATCCCTTCCTACACACATGGCTACATAGTAACTTATTTTTTTCCACCGGTAAGTCAGTATATGCAGAAAAAATTTGTATCTGCCTTAACAAATTTATACTCATCTTTTGAATAATCGACGACCCACATTTAGATGAAAAATGGATTTATTTTAAGGGTGTCAAGATAAATAGGAATTTCGCTAGCAAAAACATCTATATCTCCCTTAACCGAGCTTTGTAAAGCTCCTAACAGAACTCTGTTAATTAGTGAGGATAAAGATATGGTTGGGCTTAGCAGCCTACTCCGTCCAAATGAATGAATCTAATGATTCTATATAAAAATATCTTTCAAACAAACGAAACAAATTAAATTTCGGTTTTTCAAAACTATTTTTACCAAATTCTGAAAATTTGGTATTTTAACAAATACCAGCTGCACTCAAGCCAAATATTTCAACCAATACTAACCAACATTACCTGAATCTATATGGAAATACCTTTTGAAGAAGCTAAACGAATTGAAATGCGTCTTTCCAAACGTAGCTACGCCCTTAACAGAAGAAAACCACTTTAAATCTGTTAAAAAGAAGTTGAATTCGTTTTTTTCTGTTAATGTCAACAGGCCACGTATTATTGGTGGCGATGTTTTATCTCAATTTTTAGAATTTCGAGAACTTTAATAAGAACGAGAGATATCAACAATAAGATTATTTGGGGACCAAAGAATCAAGCAAGAATATCTGAGACCTATACGCCATGTATAATAATAAGCGATACAATCGTAATTTTGCAGTATCAGCGGTAAGTATTATATTTCGCCCAAATTTCCGTAAACGATCCGTTCATCTTTATTTATTTCTTTTGAGACTTCCTTCTAAACTATCCTTATGTTTTGCTGTTCAACTTATTAATTTAACCTTCACCTTTTATGCAACAAATATAAATGATTTAAGACTATTTTCCTTAATATATATGTCATATTGAATATATGATGCTTAAAGGACTTTTAATGTATATTTAGAGCTGTTGAAGTAACTGGAATGAAGTCAACTTAAGATCTCGTTTACGCAAACTAATTCGTAAAAGCTGCATAGAGTTGATCGTAATAAACATATAATTGCGAAAAATGTTCGATTTCGGCTTTCACATTAAATTAAGTTATATATCTCCATTCTTCATGTTGTAAACATATTAAAAAATTTAGTACATTCCTTCTTGCTGATGGCAAATTTACAAGATGCCAACAGCAAGTGTGAAAAATAACACTTGAAAGCAAAGCTAGCAAACCACACATACCACTGAAACAAGACACCATCATGTCCATCTTACAAAGAAATTCAATATCATACATATATATATATATATATATGAATTGTATATATGTTTGTATAAGTAGGTATAATAAATATAAATATATATATATATATATATATAAATATGAATTGTATGTATGTGTGTGTAAGTAGGTAATAAATATGTAAGTAATTATGTAGTAAAAAATTTTCTCTTTGACTAACGTGTTTTTAATACATCATTAAAAGCGGAAAGATAGAGAATGCAAGCATGAAAATGTAAAACAGTTTAAGTCTAAATATTAATCTAGCAGTTTGTTATCCTAATCTGGTAATATTTTGTATGAAATTTGAGACTTTATTTTGGAAAGTTTTGCATGTTTTTTTTTTTTTTTGTTTTGTTCGTGTTTACAATAATAATAATTATAAATAAACCGAATATAACGCAATTTAACAACAAAAAGTTAATATATATGCTTTTACTTTAATATGATGTTTCATGAATTTCAACGAAATTTTGTTTACCTGTTGTGTGCTTTGCGTTTTTATTCGATTTATTGTTTTTGTTTATTGTAATTTTTAAAAAGGTAAAAAAAATTTCAAAGCAAAAATTCATCGAGGAGGAAATATTATTTTCATTCATACATTATCGAAAAAAAGGTAAATTTATTTACTCATACCAGTCGACATTCTCGGCAACATGCAATAGAGAAGACATAAAGTACATTTTCTGTCAA